CCCAGTGCGGGTCAGGATCCCTCCGTGCGGGGCAGGATCCCTCTCCCGCCGCAGGGTAACCTTTCATCCCCTCCCAGGCTGTGCACAGCAGCGGAGGCACGAAACCCCCGAACAGCTCGAGGCCAAGGACCCGAGCTGTGTTCCAGCTTGGCTCCCCGTGGAAGCAGGACGTGCGGGAGGGAGCCGGGCGGCCCCGGGGGAGGAGGGAGCGCTGGCGCTCGCCCGGCTGCGTGGGAAGGAAGGGTCTCAGTCTTGGCAGCTGCTTCTGTGTCCCCTTCACAGCTTTGAGCACACACTGTCGAGGTTGCTGCAGGAGCTACACCTTCAGAGGTGGAGGTAAGAACGACCAGCTCTTGGCTCCAAACTAATCCATGCCCAAAACACCAGAGGAAGAGCCTCTTTCATATGAGCCTTTTTTCTCTCCAAAGCAGCTGAGATCTGACTTTAAAAAATCATGTCTCCAGCTGTTATCTGTTATGACTGATGGGAGAGCCTCCGGAAAAAGGACTACCAAATGCAGCTGATGAACTACAGGAAACTACAGTTGAGATGTCTGAACGTCCCCATTCATCTCCACGGGGAGCTGACTGACGCCCACTAAGGTTTTACAGACATTAACTGCTTCACAGCATGTTTGCACATGCGAAACCAGGCAAAGCAGCGCTTTGAACCTGCAAGTGGCTTCCAGTGTAGGCCAGCCTTAGAAAAATACACACAGCCTCCCCACTCCTTGGCTTCTTCACGGGGAAAAAAGGTACAAAATGAGTCTGTTGGGCTGAAATGTCAGTGGAGAAGCGCATCAAGCATCATGAGGAATTGCCTTTTTAAAAGCTCCCCTATGAGACGTGTTGGCTCGCATTTGCTCAGGATAATGAACTTCATTTGGAAACAGCTTCTCTCCCGGGGTGGGCAGTGGGTTCTAATTACAATCCACTTCTGTGTTAAAGCCAAGCGAGGCCCCTCAGCGTGAGGGGCTGTTCCCTGGGTGCAGGGGGAGGAGAGCAGGCAACGGGCAAGGAGGATGCCAAACGTGTGCACTGCCTCAGGCGTGCTGTGACGGAGACAAGCTCCATCAATCCCCTTTGGGAACACTCCACATGGAATTCAATTATTGCTGGTGCTCCAGGGGCGGATGGCAGCACCAGAGGCTGTGGAGCAAGGGCAGTTAACAGCAGGGCCTGCGGCACGCAGAGGATCTGTTCAGAGGATGGGTGAGCTCCACAGATCCTGGCCCCGCCGGAGCTGGTTTTCTTCCTGAGCCCATGCTCAAGTGCTGGTGACATGCAACAAGTCAACCAAGCAACACTTTCCCCATTTTCTTTTGGCCCTAGCACTAGTCAGAAAAATGAATGTGTTATTTCTCATGTGACACAACACAGGATCTCACTACAGCACAGCGCAGGGAATGGATGGCTGCACCACTAGCTAAAGGGTCCACAAATAGTCCAGAGAGAACAAATTTGTACATAATCAGTTTTTTTCTCTAGGCAACAGGATGAGAAGACAACCTTCCAGTACTTAATTTTTACTAAGTTAAGTGTCCTTTGTGTTTCATCTGATAGGACAAGAGCTGGCTGACATCCTTGGCTGCAAAGGAGAGTTAAAAGAGCCCAGTGTATTTCTGCATCAGCCTTGGAGAGGTCACACCCCGAGGGGTTGGAAGTGCAGGTTAGAAAACATTCCCCACTAACCTCTGGAGATGCTTGGGGCCATTTTTTGGCCTTTATGCTTTGTTGGTGCCAGGCCCACTGCAAACCCCTAAGTGGCTCACGCCTGATCCGGCGCTGTACCTCGCTGTGGGAGGTAGACGAGCAACCTCTTGAACCATCTCTCTCTCAAGCACATGGCTATGATCTCATGCTAAACTGAAAGGAGGCTAATCTTAGCATAAATTTGCACTTATCCCAATCTTTCGTAAGCATAAAATGAAGGTAGAACACAGAGCACTCACAGGAATGCAGTGAGCAGGGAGTATTAAACGCAGGAACTGACAGCAGACTTGGCAGCACCCGCTCTGCTTGGCTCAGCTGCGGCAGGTGAAGAGGCACTGCCACTGGGGGCTGGGGCAGCAACGGGGGAACACCCTCTCTGACCCCACAAGGGGCCTGAGGGTGCTCTGCAAACCTGGTGCCAGGAAAGTCTCAGCTGAACACTATCAAACAGAAGACTTGAGGAGGCTGTGAATGCTTCTCAAATGCTCTTACAACCACTTAAACTCTTCTGCCTCTGTCTCCACCAGGTAACTTCTATACAATTATTCTCCCCTCCTGAATGACTGGAGGTATAGATCATGGAGATCTCTCTTTCTCCCCATATACATACACCCAGTATCTATGTACTGCAGCTGCCCCCCACATTGGTGCACACCTACACCCTGATCCTCCCAGTTCTCACCAAGTTTCGCGATGTTTTTAGATTCAGCTCTCATACAAGCAGATGGGCCTTGCAAGCCTTAATTCAGATATTCAGCAGTCTCTGCAAGTATACCAAATTCATGGAATAATTCAGGTAGTTTATTTCCTACCGATGACATACATCATCCAGTGAAGGAAACCAGACTAAACACACTGTGGTGCAATGCAGGCCACTGATTCCTGCAATAATCACTCCCACTTGTCAATACAAGGACTGCTGCTGTTAGTCACAGGCATAGGGTCTAATGCAGTAACCTCAGTGCACACATTAAAACCCCAAAAGCACTTGAAGTATTTGCCAGTTTATTTGTATTAGTTAAAAAATTGGCAGCAATGCTATCTTCATATTACAAAATTATTTTTGGTCTACTGACAAAACCTGCTACAAGTCACTTGATCACTATTTGTGCTGTCTCTGTTCACCAAAAGGTACCTTAGGAAACAAAGCTTGTCAATGGTGTAACTGCATTTATTGTTGAGCATGAAATGGTTCCAAAGACACATTTGGTAGGAGCCACAGACATGGGCAGGAGATCCAGGCCCTATGATCCGATATCCAGAGGTTTCACTCAGTTTACAGCAGTCACAGCTGGGCTTCCTCAAACAGAGATCTGATGGGGCTCAGGTGCCTGCAGGAACAGGTCACAGCAGCAGCCAGGACAAGCACTGCTGGAGAGAGACGAGAAGTGAAGAGGATTCCTCCTTGCTCCCTCCTTTCAATGACATCAGTGCAGCTCAGAGCACAGAGGTTTCTCCATAGTGGGAGAAGTGGAACAGAGAACTCAGTATGGCAAATGGAAAACTGCAGTGTACAAGACTTTCAAAGATAATAGATGCTACAAAACCCCTATGGTTAAGGCAATTAAATCCCAAGACTGTTTCAAACAGCTCCAGCTTGAGGAATTTTAATTATTGAAATCATGTCACTGAATCAAAAGAGGTCACTAAACCCAAGCTTCTGTATTCTGCTTCAGCTACAATTACAAAGCAGGAGGCCTGTGGAGGAGCTATGCCTTATATGCTCAGTGGTAACTAGCTTGGAACACAGCAATTTAGAGATTACTACAGATTAAAAGTGAGTGATTGATTCTTCAGCACTCCTCCTTCCAGTCGGTTCTTGCACCATGTTCTCAGTTATGTCTTGTTCTGACTTACAAACCAGACCAGGGCCCAGGTCCATGTCCATGACTCAGCAGGTGTTCTGGGAGCTGAAAACAAAACCAAATCTAATTACTATTACAGAGCACTGCAGGCAACTTTCAGGCTGAATTACAATCAAATGTCATACAGAAACATACAGCATAACATGGGCGTGACCCCACTGTCTCAAGGTGAGAAATAAAGCCCAAGCACTGGAGGCCTTCAGGAAGGCACCTACCTCTTCTCTCAGAAGAGCCCGTTCACTCCTCCCGACACCGGGTCCAGGTCTATGTCATAGAAACAGGGTCTTGTGGGCAGTCCTGGCATAGTGCTCATCTGCACAACAAGGACAGTGTTACAATGGAGGCAGCACAGCTGTGCAGACCTTAGATACTAAACCACTGCTGAAACCTGTGGCAGCAGCAGCCAACACAGCTCCACACACAGGCCAGTGGGGTGATGGTCTGGGAGCACACCCTGAGAACCAGGAACTCCTGGCTCAGTACAAAAATCTGAGGGTTTGGGGGTTATGATGAGGATTAAGCAGCTGCAAGTGACTGAGCCCAGGATTTGGCAAAGCACTTGGATACTCAGCTGACAGGTCACTGCTGGAGGAGTGTTCGCAGCTGCAGTGAGACAGTTACTTGTGGCAGTTTTCTTGGCACTAAAGTGATGGTGCATGTTTTAATACCATTTTTCAGACTGTAAAGTCTCAGGTGATTACAATTCTTTAAGAGTCTAGAACTAGAACAAGTGTTAAAATAATTAGGAGTAATTACTGTTGAGAAGTGAGTTTAAATAGTTTGGTGTTTGGTTTAGTTTTTCTTAACTGGGATAAAGCTTAACCAGAGACAAGGAGGTGTGTTGTCCTGACTGGAACACTTCTGAGGGCTGTGCAGTAGCAGGACTGAAGCTCACAGCAGCTGCCAGCACTACTGCCTCGGGCCAGTCCTCTCTGCCAGGGCCACCAGGCTGGCAGGAGCTGCACTTGGCCTGATTCACTCATGCAGCTGAGAGCATTTCCCCTGCCCAACTCAGCACTTAGCCCAGCAGCATACACAGGCTAACCACGGATGCTCTGCTAAGGTGCACAACTCATGACCACGTTGGGTAGTTTGTGCCAGTGGTCATTAACTGCTTTTATAAAAAGGGAGACTTGAAAGGTCTCATTTTCTATCTGCATCACCCAGCCTCAGCTTTCACAGTCAGTGTTGTTATGCCTGTCTCCATTAGATTAAAGATCTCTTTGGCAACCTGGTATTTTCTCCCTGAGCATGTATTTTGCACGTTAATCAAATAACTTCCCCATCTTCCTTTGGATAATAAGCTAAGCAGCAAGGAGGCACAGCCCTGTTGGTTAAGGCCTTGTCTGCAGTTCTCAAAAGTGTTCAGGGAGCTTTTGGAGTGCTAGCCCATTTCCCTAAGCCATTTACAAGTGCTAACACCAGTCCCATATGCACCATACCACTGCAGGTTTTTCATGGCTTATGCAGAGCTAAAAGTCACTTCAAGTCTCCTCTTTGTAAGGAACACAAGGGCTGCACTAGCTTTTTGTCAGAGCTACTGCCTTCCCAGACAGGGGACAGGGGGGCACAGAGAGGGCCCCCATTCCTTGTCTTTGTGCTTGGCTGCATGAATATTTTGCTCTCAAGAACCTCCCAAGAAGCTATCACGAGGCTCAAAGAGACCAGCGGGGTTTTCCTGTTCTCACCTGCCAGCCTCTGGTCACACCAAGCAAGAGACTTTCTAGTTATTTGTGTGTCACTGAAGACTCAAGGAGCTTTGCAGATCTCCCCCTCCAGATTCAGAGGGCCACAGCAGGAGCTGAGAGAGTGACATTCAATAGAGTAGGAGGTACTGAAGATGCTCCTGACTTTGCCATTTCTTGCACTTTCTATTTTGAAATGAACAGCCACCAATTTTCCACCCTTCCTATCCACAGAGCAGCCCACAGTGGTGACTCCGCTGTCACCTAAAGGCAGTCTCCTTAAACCCCATACTTCCATGCAGTACAGAATAATTTCCATCCAGGCGACTGATTTTCTGTGCAAGTGCCTACAATGCTTAAGGCACTCAGCTATTTTCAGAGCTGAAGTAACAAACTCTCCCTCCGTTGTCCTCCTCCTCTTTAACACCACAAGTGCTCAAAGAGAACACAGGCCAAATCACACTATTTACCTGCACTAAAAAACAGCCCACATGGATATCATCAAACCCCTTGCAAGAGTTCAAATAAAACTAACACCAACCAAACATGTATTATTTATTGCTCTTGTGGAACTTTCAAGGAAAAAAGCCATTTAGGAACTAAAAAAAAATCAGAGCTGAATAAAGGATTTGTTTTCAATTCAGCAGCACCACCAGAAAGCAACCCAACCAGAGTCTAATGATTTATTTCACTTTCGCTTTGAATCTAGATAACCTTTGAAATTACATTTCCTTTAACATCTCAAAGTATTTCCTTGGAGTACAACAGTTTCAACTTCAAGCCAGAAAGGGAAAAACGCAAAAGACAGAAGCTGAGAAAAAAAATGAAGTGTGACACACCTCTGTGATTAACTGCAGATAACAAGAATATGCACACACAGTGATTAATTTCACCTCACATTCATCCTAAAAGTTCCTGCACAGAGCTACATATTAGCTGCATTTTCCGCTCACAGTTCAATGGCTGTTGCCAAAAA